CGCACCGAATCCGTCCACTCACTCCTCTCGCACCCGGGCATCCCGCGCGACTCCCGCCACCTCTGCGTCTTCCTGTACCACACGTACCACCGGTGGACGGCGGCGGCGCACGACGCCGACTTCTCCGCGGCCTGCCTGCCGCCGTGGGAGGGCTGGTACGCGGCCTGGCTCAAGCCGTCGAACACCTCGCTGCGCCTCCCGCCCCGCAGCGAGCGCCTCGCCCTCCCGTGCTCCGTGCACTACGCCAACGGCACCTGCGCCGCGGGCTACATCGAGCCCGACGGCCGCCTCACCGTCGAGCTCCCGGCCCCGCGCCCGCCCAACGCCGCCGACTACGACCCGGACCGCCACGTCCTCTCGCTGCGCCTGGCCGTCTCGCAGGCCCTGTCGCAGTCCGAGGTCGACGCCCACACCCGCGGCGTCGTCCATACGCGCGCCAAGGTCTCGCACATCGTCGCACAAGACCCCGTCGCAGACGCAGTCCAGCTGGTGCAGCTCCCGGGCCCCGCCGCCGAGCAGAGACGCCGCGTCGTTGTCGACGCGAAGCGCGTGAAGGAGTATACCCCGCATTTGCTCGAGGAGCTTAAGTGGAGGATGCGCCGGCGCTTCACGAAGAAGTTCGCCGCCACCGTCCAGCGCTTGCTGTGCCTGCTGCTCCAGCGGGCCGCAAGGGAGGATCGTGCGGCGAGGTACGCGCTGCGTAGAGGGTGGATGCAGGCCCATAAGGGGCCGAGCAAGCAGCTTAAGGTCCTGAGGGAGAAGGTGCGCCAGTTGGCGGCCGTGCCAAGCCTGGTTACTGACAGGTCGGACGGGGCGCTGGACGACTTGAGGAGACAGGGCGATGCGCCGAGTTCGACGAAAAGGGCCCGCCAGACGTAGGTGAGGGGCTGGTCAATTGTCACAAGTAATCTCATACACGGTTTTCGAATATCACGTACTCTGCGAGATGTGCAGCATCTCTCCTCTGTCGTACACCGTCCTGTGGCTTTGCTGCGCATGTTCGACACATAGAAGCGTGAACGCTGCGGCATGGCATGTCTGACATGGAGTAACAAAGTTTTCGTGGTCAGGTCTGGCGCCCAGACATCCTGCACACAACAACTTACACCCAACTGGAAGAGGCCCAGGGTAGTGCACCCTGGCGCGACATACAGTTTTCATTGCAACTCGTCCCACACAGGCTTGTTCTGGGCAAAGCCCTGCGATAAATTTCTGCGAGTGTGAGCAGATGTCAAGCCGATGTCAATTGCTAGGTTTCACAATTTGAGTGCGTCTTGGCTTGCTCTGTGGCACAATTCCGCACGTACAAGGTCATTACGTATGCTACCAGCTGGTGGCTCCTAGCTCGCTCCTTTCCAGTAGGCCTCTTTTCGAAACTCGGAAATACATCGTGGTCTTCGAACGTGATAATGGCTTTGGCAAATTAACGCTGGAATGGGCCATCCACGTGCAAGTGCAAGCATTAGATAGAACACATGTGCTACATAAAGTACGGACTGTGCGGGACGGTCCTATATATTGTATTCTCCATATTTTGCCCATGTAACGCAACGATGGAATGGTTTTCGAATCCTAGGGCTGTCTGCAGGAGGAGGGATTGGCTGGATTTCGGATGTCTTCATGACGAGTTGCAGCTCCTCAGCTGATGCACTAGAATGTTGCAACAATGGCGCAGCTACGAGTCTATTGCAGCGGATGTTGTTGAACGCTTCGGCAATGAGGGATTCATAGGAAACACAGGTGGATGACTCAGTCGTGACTGAGAGAACGCTGGCGACGGTTCTTCTGCGACTAGGTCGGTTGCCGGTCAAAGGCTATGAAGAGAGGGGCGATGCGAAAGGGAAGAATACGATGATGACAGTGCAAAGGTATCCGAAGCGCGAGACTCTGCCACAATGTTTTCATACGGCTTGGGTATGAAATAAAAACAAGCGTGGATACAACGCATGGGGCGAGACAGCGTGGTCAACAATTTTTTGACTGGTGCTGACGCTAAGAAGAGGCAGAATGCCAGTGGGAAGATATTCTGGTATGTGATGAGAGGTTTGTACTACAAACTTTGTAGTGCCGTTTCTAAATAAGAAGGGCAAACTAGAGCGGACATGTATGTGCGGTTTGTAGGGATAGGCTGGACTGGTAGGCATGCTCAACCAGTCAATACAAAAGATGAAGAAGCCAAAAAAGACTGGTATGCTGTCAGCGATGGACGAGGAAACAGGGCATTAGTGTCTGTTGTTGCAAAGTGTGATGCTATCACAGGGCTTACCGAGGCTGAACAGGGGCCCGTGAGTCACTGCATTAGGGAGACGCAAGAGGATGGCGGGAGACTGATGAGTACGATGGGACGCAAGCAGGCGAATGCAGCGCAAGAATGTGTCGATGCCCACTCAGGTTTCCGCGATTTCCGATGCACCAATCACACAAATATCTCAAATATCAGGACAGGGAGATGTGGCCCATCTATATGGCCCCCAGAGGATATTCGCCACATCCTCTTCCAAGTAATGGAGCCGTTTGGCACTCCCCTATTGGTCAACAACTGCACCTTCGACTCGAGCCACGGAGCATTCACTGAAGCCGTCCTAACACTCCCGCGCCCCTAAACGTTGTCATGATTCCACAAACACCCTCCCTGCCGGCGAGAGTTTTCTCAACCACGCAATCGCTGTACAACCCTTCTCCCCTTCAACATTTTCAATCCTCTTGGCCCCCTTCCCCAACCCCCCCCCCCCCCCCCAACCTCCCGCCCTTCACACCCTTCCTGTTTCTTCCCCACCATCCACCATCCCCGCCATGCCCGACAACGCCACTAACCCGCACCAACCACCTCGCCCAATGATCCAGCATCTCCCCGAGGACGTGCAAACCTCCCTCCTCTCCCTCATGTCGCAAGCCGACATCGCGCATCTCGCCACGTCGTGCACGACCTTCCACTCGCTCGCCTCACCCCTACTCTTCCGCCAGTTCCGCTGCGTCACCTGCCGCGCCCCGCTCTTCCAGCCGAGCGAGCTCTCCCTCCAAGACCACCCGACGCGCGGCCGCAAGGCCACCTTCGGGCCCTCTTCGCGCCTTCCCCGCCGCGCCTTCTTCCAGCTCCGCGACCACCCCCCGGCCACCCCCGCGGACCGAGGCATGGTCCTCGACGCCCGGAGAGGCGCCGCCAATTTCCACGTCCTGCGCCACCTCGCGCAAACCGTCTATCGAAACGAGCGCTTCCCGCTCCCACAGGAGCTGCAGGCCGTCCGCGCTCTGCGATGCGCCAAGTGCGAGGTCTTCGTTGGCTTCAGATTGGAAGACCCCTCGGGCACCGACAACACTCACGACTTTGTCCATCACGACTTCGTCGAGCTCGTCGATGGGCAGGACCGCATCGTCACCCTCTCTGGCCAAGTGTTGCCAGAACCGGAAGGCACTGTGCGATGCGCGCAGGAGGGCTGCCGAAGAGTCTTGTTTCAGCGCGACGACGTGCTGCCGTGGAGCCATGTACTCTCGTCGTCGAGGTTAACAGACATGGACGCATATCTCGAATGGGACCATTCATGGGCGGGCTCGGCTACGGAGAGTCAGCCGGCCTTCTTTGTGAAGAGGCTCAGGTCGGCGGCTGGCGTCATGAGAAACGTCAGGCCGGAGCGACTGAGACAAGGGCAGATGGAGGTTGGCGATGTGCATTGCGCAGGGTGCGACGCGCAGATCGGCTGGAAGTTTGTCGCAGAATTACCGGAGGAGGAGACTGAATTGCTGCATAACTATGATCAGGTTGGCCGGTATGGTATCATCAGAAACTCTGTCGCGCCGGCAGAGCCGCGCTTGATTTGAAGATTGCATTCGTAGATTTAGCTGAATGACGCCGTGGTGCGAACGGTTTGCCGAAAGGTCAATGTCCTTGAAGTGTTGTGGGGCATACAGTACAATATTGCAGAGATTCCTGGTGTAATTTAATAATCTGCAAACCTGTGAATTCTGAAGGTAGTAGATATGTTTAAAGGTTCGCACAAGTCCTCGTGACAAACATAAAGAGGACTCTGGCGAACGTTTTGCCTTCAAAGACAGACTCCACTTCCCTACAGTATACAGTACCACTCGAAGCCTTCGAGTACCCTTCGAGTCGAAGGGTACTGTACCCTTACGGTGCCGTGCACAAATTCGACGAAGTCTTTGAATCATGCTAGGGGGAGCAGGCACCATCTGTCCCGATACTTGAAATGCTTGTCCATCTCTTCCCCGGCGGCACCCATCAGCTAAAAAAAACGGCGACAATATCTCAGTCTGCACCGACAGCAAGGTTGATTCGAACCAGCCAACCGTTGTAACGGAAAACGTTTTCAGGTGCAACCTAACTTAAGACTTGCTTTTAGGGAGCCTGGTATTGGACCATATTCTACACCGACAAACAACCAATCACAAGTCGTAGCCCTTCATGTAGTTTACACATGTACGGGAGACGAACATGTTCGCCAAAACGTGTTGATACTACTGTAGCATCAATTCCGTTAGTTTGGGTTGTGTCAACAGCTGTTGTCTCCTGCGCGACTTGAGCAGCGCAGCCTACATGACGGCCCGGATTCTCTCCTGATGCGCTACATTCCATCGGCTCAGATGCGTTGCTCTTCACGCAGACCGATTCTGTACACTTTTAATGGTGCCCCACAAAAATACACCATCGTCGGAAACCCCACTTCGATTAAATCACCGCAAGTGAGCTTCCATGCACCGAAAAGAGTTATTTGGTTGTGCAATGAAGATTGTTGCATCCACGAATGCGGGTGGCCTCCACGCTGGGTTGCGGTTCACACTCGCAAAAAGCGACATCACGAACCTATGGCGAACGGTTGAGAAACGTATTGTACAGGGATGCACAGTCAATAGGCTGTGCCTCCATGTACAGTACGTACACGCCGCCCACCTAGGACAAGAATCATGCACAATTCGACGCGAAGGATCAATAGTTATGTTCATGATTTTTTCTGCTGCCGATGTTGTGGCTTACCGCCCCTTCTTCACAACGACACTTACATCGCCACATGACATAAGACTTCCCATTCACACGGACTTAACACAAAATCGGTCTACGAAAGCATGTGACGTTTACGGAATGTGTACTTATACATGTGCCATGTGTAGTTGCTTTCCTAAAGACCAGTGGCGTGGGTAATGAACGCACCATTACGCCAATTTGTGGCCTACGCTAAAGGTGAAAAGCAGCCCATAGCGCTGCTACTATCACTTCCAATTGGCAACCCCGTCTCTGAAGAACGACGCCGTGTTCCGTGCGGACAAGATGTCAAGATTTGGATCATTCGCTATTCTGTCAACGCATGCGGCATTCATGAACCTTGTCCCCAAAATGAAACTTGGTGCCCCAACCCCGTCAAGATTTCGAATCGGCGCCGGATGATACCGTCTTGGTCGTCTTTCTATTGACACAATGTCAGTGGCGCCCTGAAATACGGTAGACAGCAGAGACGATCCGTGTTCCGGCTTTTCCCATGACGCAACGCGATATACGCCATCTGCTACTCTTTTCACATCTGAACAGTTGGGAGACTTGAGTACTGTCACATGAGAGGCGATCGAAGAAGCTCGTGACTTGTTGAAAAATTGGGGTTTCACTTCTCCCTTGATTAGAGAGATATATCGCGCCACGTTCAGCACTCGCACGTCACCTGCAAGCAGCCCCGATAAAGCTGGATCAAGGGCCAATACTTGGTCCAAGGCATAATCTGTTGCATCTGTCTTGAAAACCTCCGGATCAATAATGGCAGCCAGTGCGACCGCGTCAAACTTGCCTAACGAGACAAGCTTGTGCCGTTCATTTGCATCCGTTCCACTCAACTCATATTGCGCTTCTCCAGATTTCTGCACAGACCTGACATCGATGCCAAGCCTGAGCTCTGCACCGGCAGCTTTTAGCACCTGCGGGCACAGAGCATTTGTCTGCTCCGAGTCAAAATACGTTGCTTTCGCGCGAAAACTTGTCGGTATAGGGCTGCGCACAAGAGCGTTGAAGAGACCTGCTAGTGCATTCGTATGGGGACCGGCAGTGCATGCGGAATTGCCGTAGGTCTGAGCGAGTCCTGGACTGACACAATCATCTAAAAGGGACTGCTGAATATGAAACTTTGCAAAAAACTCTGTTACTGAAACCTTTGCGTACTTTCCCGTACCGCAGGCAGAGAGCAGATGGCCCAGTGTGACACAACTCGAAGCAGCATCACGCTCCAATATGACTTGAATGTGATGTTGGATATGTTTGACGACCGTGGCTAGTGCCGAGGTGGAATGACCCCCGTAAATCATACCCCCTATTACTTGAACCCAAGAGCGGAAAAACACTGAATCGTACAGACGCATGAGCCATCCAATGGGGACAACACCCCCGGCAAAAAACAGGGTCACGAGAAACCAGAAAAAACGCAGCCATAAGAAGTGTCGTCGTCGTCTTTTCAAGGCGACGAATGAGAGAAGAAAGCCGTTCCCCTGAAACAGCTGGAAAAAGTGTGCCGCAGAGAGCAGCGCAAAAATCTGCAACAAAGCAGACAAGAACAGGCTCTCTCGGACAATCGTGCACAGGGCAGAGTGAACCTGTCCTATATTGTAGTCGTCCTTCTCCCAGTCAAAAATGGACCAATCGCGCATTGATTTCCGCAACGGAGGGTCGATGCCTGCATCGTTCATGAGGGAGACGAGTGCCGGTGAAGCGGCGACATCCATATCAGCCGCGGTGCCAGCTGGGACAGACACATCTTCTAGCTGCAATGTCTGATACTTAAATCCTCCCGGTCGAGACAAACGGTCGAAGACAACGATTTCATGTGTGGAGTCCGGATCGGAAGCGTCTGTGCCGACTTCGGTACTCGTGAGACCCGTTGTTGATTGTTCCTCGGACCCAGCAATTGAGGGACCAGTGCGGTTAGCTTCAAGGGCTTTGCGAATGTAGAAAGCCGAGGAAGAACCAAGAAGGTTGGCGCCGATTACGGCGACGCGCATAATATGGTCAGGCGATTGGCGAAGATGGTGGTCAAGCTGGAGATTGGAGAGAATAATAGGAATGCTGGACAATCAAGCGATTGGAGAGAAGGATACAAATGCTAGACAGCCGAGGTTGCGGATTTGTCATGGTGGCATAACTGCCCTTCGACAGCAAAGGGGCTTGCAGAAATCAGCGCAATGTTTTGCGGAACGAACGAACGGGATAACTGCGCCAAATCCAATTTGAGAGGGGTAATGTCGCACACGTGTACATCGTGTAACACTATGTAACGTGCGATTTTATTCCTTGAAAGTGCAAAAAAAGAGGCCCTGTTTTTGAAACCTTTCGCAAGTCCCGAGATTCAGAACATTTCACATGCTATGCCTGATGCCCAACCACCACGTGGACGCTGCATCCCGATGCACGTCATTTGATCACAATCATAACATAAATTTCAGTATGCCTGAAATACCTGGATTCCGAGAACCGGGAACCGTTCCCTAGACCTGACTTACAAATTAAATATGGGGTGGTAAGTTACGAAGAAGGAACCGAAAGTCAACTTTTTTTTGAGGCAACCGGAAATACTGTACAGTATATACAAAGCGATCCCGTACTTCCCACGCATCATCACACCGATGATCCCTCGCGACCGCCTAAGCTCAAGTTATTCCACCGCGGCTGCTTCAAAAGCCGTCAAAAGCCGCCGCACGTTGTTGGCCATTTTCTGTATAATTATCATAATTATCATTCTTTACTGTACAAGACGTTACTGCGGTCGCTGCGGTGGCTCTCACGTCTCAACCTGTTTGGAAACGCCAATTGAGCATGGTTGCGAGGTGAACAACACATGACCCACGGTCTTGCTATTTTTTTCCCATGACCCTATTGGAGCTGAGATTAGTTTCCACCGAAGAAAAACAAACATTGTCCTAGACTCCTGCTTGTGAGACAGCAAAGAATCTTGCCAAGTTCCATCGCACCATTACCGCCACCCTATTCGATAACGACAACGATAGGACCCGGAGGGTAACGTAGAAGTATGTCCCCCGGATGATCCATCTGTATGCAATGCATACTATGCACTCCACTTCGTTTCTATATTCCCTCCGAGTCACCGCCAGTTCACGCTTCCTCACTAAAACCTACTCGTCCTTTTTAACGAGTGGCGCCACAAAAGGATTACAACGCGATCACTTCTTGCCTCTCTAGCACTCCATGCAAGAAGTGGAATACTACAGCGCCTCAAAACTTGACACCCCGGCCGTCCTAAAGAGTATCCCCGCATCCGAAAGAGAATCAATCGGAAATTCTTCGCCCTTCTTTCGTAACAGCAATGCGAAAAGCTCGGTTCTATCCAACATCATATTTTCCTTGACTTTCTGTCGTACCTCTCGAGCTTCCGTGTCTCGTGGTGGCAGTGGGATTAATCTTCGTGTCCTCCAAGTCGCGCTCCCTCAATGCTCTTCACGGTGTTCGATTATTCAAGCAAGGCAAAAGATTTGGTGAAAAACCTCCTGCGTGTAATGGCATGGCCTTCATTTCCGATTATACAAGCAAGGCAAAAGACTTGGTGAGGAACCTCCTGCGTTTAATCGCGTTGCCTTCATTTCCGCAGTTTGTCGAAGACCCCGATCCTTGCGCGGGATACCGTAATACCCATTGCAAGAACATCTATAGTACAGTGGTGGCAAAAACTATATGACAGTGACGCGGTTATATTATGACCGCTAGCGCCAGTGCGCTGATTGGGGAACATAAGGACAAGTGTCCTTTTCATAATATCTTTTGTAGTCATTTTAATTGGCCGGAAATGGCCAGGTAGTGTTATCTGGTTGGTTAAGAGTAGGAAACTAGTGGAAGCTGAACCGTGGCTGCGGGAGATTACTTGGACGCTTCGAGGGGTACTTATCTAGTCAGCAGTGTTGAAGAAAAGAGAGGCCAAGCGGCCCATCACGTCTTTGCATAGAACCGTCATCGCGAGAACTAACAGTGGTATTTCTGTCGAGGGTCAGCATGAGTGGCCTTGAAGAGTTCTCCTTTGATGGTGAGGGAGATGTACAACGTTTCCTGTTTTACTTCGAGAATGTCGTCGCTCGCCAAGACGACGACCTCAAACGTTCCGAGAAGGTCTTGTTGTACCTACGTGGTAAGGCGTTTGACGCCTATTACACGAAGTTCGGCCAAGGTGGTGTCCTCTCCGAAGAGGCTCACTCGTACATGGTCGTTAAGACTTTTCTTTCCAACACTTTTCAAGAAAAACGAGACCCCGAAGAAGTTGTTCGCCTTGCTGTGGAAGCTAAGTATGACGGAGGTGACTTAGGGGACTTTATACAGTCAACCGAAGAGTTATACCGTCAAGCTTCTTTCCGAGAGGAGACTAAGTTTGGGTTGCTCAAGAGAGCCGTTCAGTCAGATAGCCTTGTGACCCAGTTTGTCATACTACACAAGCCCGACAACTTCAAGGAGCTCGTGAAGACATTGAAAGATTGTGACAAAAGCCGAAAGTCGTTCGGTGGCGACCATCTAGTTAGAGCGGAACATTACCAGAATGTACGCTCTCAACAGCATGGAGTTTCCGCTCAGCGCAAAACAGCCGGGAAAGACCAGGGAGTTGATACGAGGATTGCTGAGCTAGCATCGCAGCTCTCAGAGTTAACACTCCTTGTCAAGAAAAGCCAACAGGGGTTGCCATTATCTTCAGACAGGGCCTCCTGGAGTTGCTCCTACTGCAAGAGGCCCGGTCATGGTGCCAGTAGATGTGAACTGAATCCGAACCGTGAGTCTAGGTGCCCCCGGTGTGGCAAACTCGGTCACAGGGAGGACACCTGTTGGTCCAAGCCGTACCCTGGTGCTCCAATCCGCCCTACGAGTGAGATATCTGCGGGAAGCAAGAAGTCAGGACAAGATGTTAGGGTGTCTGGAGTTGCACCCAGCCGCTCAGGGAGTCCGGAGCAGCTATTCGTCGTCAATGAGCTCCCCAAGGAGAATGATGACTCAAAAGTGAGTCCGTCTCTGTCCATTATTGAAGAGATTGAAGAAGTGACGGCAGTGAAGAGGGACAAGGATGGCCAACCTATGGCCAAACAGCCTCGTCGCCACGAGGGAAAAGAAGTCTCATCGATTCCGGTTTCTAAACTCTTGGATCCGATTCCAATGGGGCAGATTCAATCGACATCCATAGGACGAACACCAAAGAAGAGTCGTCACAGAGCACGAAAACCGATGAAAAGGTCTAAAAAGGGCAAACTCGAAGAGCTGAGTGCCCGCACCGAGAAGTTTGACCTTCTCTCTGGACTAGCACAGGCAGCTACCGGCATTCCATTCGGCCAACTGGCACAAGGGGATGCAGAAGATGCCAGGAAAGAAATACGGAAGCTCTTCGTTGCTCCTACGCGACGATTCCAGCGTACGATCGCCTTCACTTCCAGCAATACACCGGCATCGCGCCCTTCCAGCCGGTTGAGCATGATAGATATCATGATTCATGCATATCCGGTCCGGGCTCTTCTTGATTCTGGTTCAACTCCGAACATTATGTCTCTCAAGCTAGTAGAGAAACTACAGTTAAAGACTTCTCCTACGGCGAGGAGGATCACTGTGGCCAACAGAAGCACCGAGGAGGGTCTAGGAGTTGCACTTGAGGTTCCTGTGCACTTTGGGACACTCTCAGCTGATATGGAGTTCCTGATCTTGAAGGGTGCCCCATTTGACGTTATTGTGGGAGCACTGACGATGGAAAGCTTGAGCACAAAGTTGGATTTAGGGCGTCAGACTGCTCAGTTCACACGAGATGGAAGGAAAGCTACCCCCGTGCTCTCTCGTGGTGTGCAGAATGACGGAGGGAGTGACGAAGAAGAGTTCACGACCGACTCGGGAGCGGAGTCCACTGAAGGCTCCCCCTCAGACGAAGAGAGCTCTGAATCCGAAAGTGAAGAAGGGTATGTGCTCTGCATCAGGAATGATACTTCCGAGATCGTCAAAGGCCTTGAGCGCAGTCTATTGCAAGCGTCAGGGAAGCAGTGTCTCCAACAAGCTGAAGCAGAAAGGACGAATGACTCATTTGAGAATGTTGAAGAGCTTGACAATCCGGACGGAGTTGAAATCGACCTGCCGGGTGATCCAAGTTTTGACATGAATGTATGGGAAAAGCTGCAACACCTTGAGTGTGGTGCAGCGCTCGAGATATACGCAAACCTGCAAGACAACGATGTGATTGCATCGTCCCTTCATGATCTACGCCCAGCTTCAGTTCCAGTAGAACACACTTTCGAGCTCAAGGACATGACCCCAATCCATCACCGCTGTCGAAGACTACCGCCCAAACATAATGCGGTAGTGAGAGTGGAACTTGATAAGATGCTTTCGGCAGGAATCATTCGACCTTCTGTATCGCAGTGGTCCTTCCCAATCGTCATTGCTTCCAAAAAGGACGGAACCCCACGTTTCTGTGTCGACTACCGAACCCTCAATAAGGTGATGAAAGCAGACCGTTGGCCTATACCCCTGATTGAAGAAATACTTGATGAATTAAAAGGATCGAGTATCTTCTCGACACTCGACCTGTTCACCGGCTACTGCCAGGTGCAAGTCGCCGAGCAATGCAAGGAGATGACGACATTCATATGTCGAGAAGGGACATTCCAGTTTGAGGTGATGCCTTTCGGACTGATGAACGCCCCCGCAACGTTTCAGAGAATGATGACGACGGTATTAGAAGGAATTGAATATGCAGTCGCGTACATAGATGACGTCGTCATCCATTCATCTAGTATGGAAGAACACATCACCCATCTTCGTTCAGTATTGTCACGAGTCAAATCGTACGGCTTGAAACTCAAGCTTTCAAAATGCACCTTTGCCCGCCGGTCTGTCAGCCTGTTAGGGCACATCGTGAGTGAGAAAGGGGTCGCAGTGGACCCGAGGAAGACACAGGCTCTACGAGATACTATAATCCCTCAGACGAAGACAGAAGTGCGGAGCTTCTTGGGCTTGGCATCATACTACCGCCGTTTCA